TGAAAGATACGGATATTGAATGATTGGACAGAGGCTCTAATAGGTGGATGTGGAAAACAAGGTGGATTAAAGGATTGGAAAGACATAATCATATTTCGTTGATTAAAAATTTTCTTAGTATATATATATACAAATACTTGGTTAAACTTTTCGAAGAAGGGGATTCGCTTGACACTCCTTCGCTCAACGTGGGCTCGCCCCTCTCAGGTTTAATTTTAGGATCAAAATGAATAACTTTTGTTATTAAGTAAGTATTATTTCAATCATGTAAAATATAGGAAAACGACTTTAATATGTCATCAAACTTTGAGAAAAGGCCCATCTATGCCATTTTCATTTGAAAAACACTCATCCATGCCATTATTTGTTAAAAATAGTTTCAATTTTTCAAAACTATTTTTTTACATGTGGTCAATTATGATTCAGCCACATCATTAATTAAATCATTTTTAAAGAGAAAAAACTCAAATATGTCATTGAATTTTGACAAAAAATGGATGAACTTTTTCTCAAATAGAAAAGACATAGATGAACCAAACTTTTAGATTTGACATTGATGAACCTTTTCTCAAAGTTCAATGACATATTTAAGTATTTTTCCTAAAAATATATTAAGAACCAAAATAAAATATTACCACAACACCATTTTAATTATTTTCTCTTGATTTCAATGACAACACCAACACAATTATAGCTTATCTTGACTTACATTCCCTTCTCACCTGGATGTTTGCATCAATGCATGTAAGTCGAAATTTGATCAATACATCAGACTAACATGTTTGGATGAATTTAAAAGTTAATCAAACCTATTTTTAATGTATTTTTAGTTTTTGGAAGAGTTTTGATAAAGTAAAAAATAACGTCAAATAAGTTAAAACTCATCCAATATTCCAAAGTTGCCCTTGCTTAACATTATTTGTTATTAATTTTTGAAATGAAAATTTCCAAAATATTTTAGCTGACATAAAATACTCTACCTATGGTGCTCCATCGCGCACCATCTTATATGCATTTGTTTATTTCCTTGTAAACTATCGAACTTGCTAAATGACGGAACTTCTTAAACATATTAAAATTTAGTGGTAATTTTTACGGTTAAGACATTCAATATTTTAAGTACAAAAAGAATGTTGAAAATTTATTATAAAAATATTGTTTAGGGTCGGGAAATATTGTCTGGTAATTATGTGCAGAAATTTTATATATATATATGAACATAGTTGTTTTTTTTCTTAAGTCTAAAAAATTATCAAACTAAACATTTATTATCGCATGTCAAATGAAAAAAATACATATGAACATAATTGTTTTTTTTCTTAAGTCAAAAAAATTATCAAACTAAACATTTATTATCGCATGTCAAATGAAAAAAAAATGTTTATACAAATACTTGGAGGTCAAGTATGCAGGTTGCATTTTTCTATCCAAAAAAAAAAAAAAGTATTTACCAATTGATTTATACTTATCGTTTCTCTTATTATGAATCCAAGCTTAAAGAAAACTCAAATATAGTATTAAAAACTGGAACGAAATATTGCTTAGGTTATTAGTCATATAGAAGTATTAAATAATTATATTAATGTCATAAATGGGTGTTTTTGGAATGTGGTTGAAAGATTATCATTTAAATAAGTTTGGTTACAAAAATTTAAAAATAAGGGATATGAGTGTAATATCTGAAACCACAAGGGAAATAAGTGTTATAAAGTTAAATGTGAGGGAGATTTCTGAAATTATTCCTAAAAATTTTAATTTTTAATTTTTTGACTTAAAATCTACTCTCTTTTTTTCGGCTTATCCAAACGGGCTCTAAAACTATTCTCTTCAACTAATCTGGGTCTATTACGGAGAGTAATTAATCCTTTACCAAAAAATATAAGGAAAAAGGTCTGAAATGTATCCGAATTTTGACCGAAATTGCTGTAACAATACCGAATTTTGGAAAGGGTCTTTTACCCCTACATTATTTAATAGTAATGTATTTTAAAGGTATATATATGTCCACGTGAACATCATAAATATGACATCATTATAAATAGTAACGTGTCCACGTAGGTACATATATACATTTAAAATTCACTATTAAATAGTATAGAGGAAAAAAGTCCTCCATAAAGTTTGATATTGTAACAACAATTTCGACCAAAGTTAAAATATTTTTCAATCATTTTTCCAAAAATATACCTCCATACCATACACACCTCAAAAGGAAAATCAAAATATTGCAAAACACAAAGGAAAGTTTGTGTAGAACTTCAACTGCATATCATAATACATCTCTAGACAAACTTTAAATAGAAGTAGCAAATCAAACTTTTGATTATACAAAACGAAAATAACGAGTATTAATTAAGTGACCATACAAGAAATCAACCCGATTAATTATTTGGTAGGAAGCGTCTGCCAATATTTCCTGCCAGCCATGACCCTTACTGCTCTAAATACAATTATCCTGGATGCACCAACTGCACCAACCACAGTACCCAATGGAGCAGCAATGACAGTACCCAATCCCAATGTACCAGCTGCAGCTACGACAGTACCCAATGCTATTGTAACAAGCATTTTCAGTTAACAAAATTCATTCAAATAACTTATAATGATAGAAATCTCTAAAAAAATAAAATGTCAAAATATCCTTTATCAAAAAAGATTTTGACGGACAATTTATTTCTTAGGTCAATTAAATTGACAATAAATTTATCATTTATGCACCTATTCCACAATCATAAATTTAAGAATAGTTTTAGATTTGACAAAAAAGAATTTAAAAAAGGGAAAAAAAATGGCATTGATGTGTCCAGGGATTTAAAGAAAAAGGAAGGAAAAAAGGAAAGGATTATCAGTAAAAAATGTAAGAAATTTTTTTTACACGTGTCAAACGCGTAGATTTCACTGATCCACATAAATGTGGCTATGACTTTTTAAGGAGGTAATAATTTCAATTTTAAAAAGCTTAGAGGGTAATAGGAGCCCCATAAAATATAAGTGTGTAGTTAGAAATCTGATAATAGAATAGAGGCTCATTTGGCCATTTTCTCTTTTTTCCCGGTGGTGCCACTTTACACGACTAAAGGCTACATATAATCCTCTTGTTTCCATATTTCTTGTACTTGTTATCGTCAACACTTCCTTTAACCTCTCGAATAGTTCATCTCATGATTCCATATCATGATACCATATTGCATGGCCAAACGGGCCCTAAATCATCCTCATTAAATATAAGTCATCTAAATATTAAAAAGTGAATAGTATATAATAGCATGGGTAAAATAGACATTAAATAACAAATTATTCATTGATTTTTATAAACTGAACAAGTATTACTTCAACAATCTACTTTTAATTGTCATGTTGTGTTTTTCATAAGTCAAAGTTAAATTGGATTATATTAATTCAATATGTTAAACAAAAAATTAAGATATTCAAAAACTACACGAAAAATACTATAAGCTGCAATTTTTTGCATATCAATATAATGAAATAATACAACATAAAATGTTAGTCAATTTTTTTTTTAATCATTTGACTCTAAAAAGAAAACCATTACAATTAAAAGTAAATGAAGGAATTATATAACATCCCATAATAATATAATAGATAAGTAAAATAGACGTTGAGAACAATATTAACTAAACTAAAATAGAGTAACACAAGTCAAAGTACTCAACTACTTTCTGTAGACTTTGGTCTACTTCAAAAACATTGAAACCTAACGTCAATTCAAATGGAGGTACTCTACTTAGCAAGCAAGTAAGGAATATTTTCAATTATACTCCAAAAACCTACTCACCTCTCAAGAATAGCGAGACCCCTTGTCTATTTAGTAGCTTGTTCGAAGGTGAGTTATAATATCAGTATTTGATAATGATATTAAAATTCAATCAAGATTTTGAATATTGCTTCTACGAGATCCTCCCACCCCCACCCTCCCTCCATTTTTAAGCAGTTCTAATAAATAAAATAGAGTAATATTGATAAATTGTTATCTTATGTTTCTTTTATAAATAAATGTTTGTGATTATAAACATTCAATACATAATTTTATAAAAATTTACTAAAGTAATGATTATTCTTTTTATATAATTTTTTTATATGACACAAAAAAAATTTATGTTGAACATGTGTTTTTTGTAAAATTTAAAATAATAAGTCTTTAAAGAAATATAAACTTACGGATAAAGTTTTACATTAAAAAAATCGTGATTTAAAATTTCTAAATCATTTTTTTTTAGAATTTAAAATTTGAACATTAACTCAAATCGCATATTCAAATACTAATTTAAAATCTTAACTTCATATTATATATTCAAATATAAGTTAGGGTTTAAACTCGAAACAAATTTCTACCTCCTCCCCCTTCCTCGATTACGTCTTTTGGTATTTTTTCTGTTTCCGGTAGTAGATGTTCCAACCAGACTCCATACATCCCTTGCTGTTGCAATCATACTATTTACTGTACTAAACACACCAACAATCTTATCAAATATCTCTTTATTATTATAATTATCATGGAGTTTTTATTTGGAGTTAACAAAGAAGATAACAATGGTGAATTTATTTATCATGTGGAATTCACCGTTAAATTTAACACTTTTAGTTGATAAATCATGTTAGGTTTAGGATAAATAACCCAAAACAAACATTTTTTACTATATACATTAAGGAACATTTCAATCAAGTGAGATATATTAAGAATCAATATAAATCATTATCCATACATTAAGGACTATTTGATAATTTTCTCTTGATATCAATGACAACATCAACACAATTATAGCTTTTCTTGACTTACATTCCCTTCTTGTAGTATTTACACTTATTACCTATGTTTGTGTGAATACATGTAAATGGAAGTTTGATTTAGTGTAATTGATCATTTACCAAAAGATGTACCTCCATACCATACACACCTCGAAAGGAAAATCAAAATATTACAAAATATAAGAAAAGTTTGGGTAGAACTTCAACTATACATCATACATCTCAAGACAAACTTTAAACTAAACTAACAATTCAACTATTATTATTTAAGTGATTATACGAGAAATCAACCAGATAAATTACTTGCGTTGCCAAATTTTCCAGCCCACAACGACAGTTATTGCACTACCTACAAGCATCCTGGTTGCATTCACAGTACTAACTGCACCAACGGCAGTACCCAATATACCAACTCCAGCGCAGATAGTACCTACTGCACCAACTGCACCAACAACAACACCCACTGTATCCACTACAGTAAAGAACGTATCTGCGGTAAACAAACCAGACGATTGCTCTGCACCAGCACCAGCACCAGCACCACCAGCATCAGCTTTGAATTTCTTCTCACGATCCTGCAATTAGATTAGCTCATGATTTGCTTCATTAAATCTTTCAAAAATTATGTACATCACCTTAATTTTGAATACATAATGTAATTTTTTTCGAAGAGATTTGGATGAACCGTTTGCTCTCACCTGTAATAATTTGTCCTCTTGCATGTACAACATGGAAGAAGCTTCTTCAAAATCGGGGAGAGGACGCATTGATGATATTGTGTTTTTGAGGGGCAAGTATTGAATAGGCAAACCAGCAAGAAGTTGCAACACCTTGTCTGTATTTGAGATCTGATCGCCGATTTCTGCTAGAGAATCGGCGATGGACTTCAATCTTTTCACATAGGCTTCAATGGACTGAAAATCCTCTTTTCTGGTTCCGTGAAATTGAATTTGCAGTTGGGCTCGCCGGATTTGATCATCTTTAATGGAACTATCCGATTCCTCTTTTGGAAAACAAGACGACTGCTCCTCCTGGTCCTGTAATTACGGACGATAAAATTATTCCATGAAAATATAATTTTACGTAATCTAATCTACTCAGTTATTGATTTAGCCTATCTAGTTTTGCTCAATTCAACCAAGAGAAAAGTATTAAAAATATTCATGAACTTGGCGCGAATTATTGATTTCATTCCCGAACTATTGATAGGCATAAAATTACTCCTATACTTGACGAACTAAGTTTAAATACACCCCTTTTTAACGCCACATCAGATTTTTAAAATTAATTACCAACAATTATGATACCCTTCTTCCTATTTAGCTTCTCCTCCATTAAAGCTGACCTCAAAACAAGTTTCAAGAAAATTTCCACTCTTTTTTAATTGCTTAATTTCACATGCTATAATGTTCTTTCTCTTCCTATTGTGTTCATGACCCCCCATCATATTTACTTCTTCATTTTTAATGTGTTTTTGTTTCTAGTTGATGTCTGTTAATGTGCAACTCACCACATTACAGCAATATCAATTTCATAGTCACTCTTTCATTAAGAAGTTTGAAGACAAAGACAGTACTTACTTAGTGTATTTATGTATTTAATAATTAAGAGAAAATAAAGGTTAAATTACAGTGTACACAACTAAAGAAGTACTGAAATATAACAAATAAAGTAATTGAGTATAATAACTGAAAAAACAGTTAATGGGGAGTCATGAACAACAATAGGAAGAGAGAATATTATAGCATATGAAATTATGCAATTAAAAAAGAGTGGAAAATTTTTTGAATGTCAATTTTAATGGAGGAGAAGTTAAATGGGAAGAAGAAGGGTATTGTAGCGGTTGGTAACTAAAAATTAAACGATTTTTTTAAAAATCTGATGTGTCATATTTTTTTAAACTTCTCACATTCTTAAAGAGAGCCTAATCACTTGTTGTGCCATGTGGCAGGGAGGAGTGTATTTAAGCTTAATTTGTCAAGTATAGGAGTGTTTGTTATTTTATTAATAATTCAAAAATAAAACCAATAATCCGCGCCAAGCTTGAGAGTGTTTTTAATACTTCTCTTTTCAATAAAGAAAACATTGAACGGGTTAAATTATGATTATTTTTTTTTAATTCAACTCATTTTCAATCCGAGTTATTTTTGGATAGATCTCACATCTCATTTCAACCCGTTATTTGACACAAAGTGTTAGATGCAGGTATTTTAAGAAGTTATGTATATTAATTCACTAATATTTTAAGGATCTTAACAGTTGAATTCGTAAAATTTAAATCTTGAATTTATGTACCTTTAATAATATGCCTTCTTGCTTGTACACCATGAAACAAGCGTCTCCAAAAGTGGGAAGAGGGCACTTTGATGATATTGTGTTTTTGAGGAGCAAGTATTGAATAGGCAAACCAGCAAGAAGTTGCAACACCATGTCTGAATCTGAGATCGGACTGTCGATTTCTGCTACAGAATTGGCTATGGATCTCAATTTTTTCACATAGGATTCGATTGTTTCGAGATCCCCTTTTCTTGTACTGTGAAATTGAATTTTAAGTTGAGTCTGCTTGATCTTGCCATCTTCAACTGAACTCGTAGAATTATCAGATTCTTCAATTGGAAAATTCATTCTTAACTGACTGAACTCTGCTTCTATCTCTCTGGTTTTTCTTATTCTCTGAGTAGACTTTAAAATATGAACCCTTTAGTACTGTTTGAATTAGTGTGTTATGATTCGTTTGGTACTACAACTAATTTTGAAATTAATTTTAAGATGAGTTTATCTTATTTTATTTTTATTTTGATAAGATCATTAGATTAGTTATTAGTGTTATTTTTATTCACAAAGAGAAGGAAATAATGATTTTGAATAATTAATCTCAAAATAACTTGTTACTCGATCAAACAAACTCTTACTGTTTAAAATTTTGATGTTAATTCAAATATAAACCAATATTCAAAAAACATCTTTCACTTTGAATTTAGGTGTTGAGTCTTTAATTTTTTTAATGTGATTTTAGATGTTGAGTTCTTTAGTATTTTTTAAGATAAAATTTTCATATTTATATTATATATACAACATATGTTTCATAAAAAAATGATATTTTAAAATTTATTTTAACAAATTGTGATCAAAGAAAATACTGTTTGCCTATTTTATATGATACTATAATTTATTTTAAAAAAATAATAATTCATTTTTATATAATATTAAATAGCTTAACTTCAAAATCTATATATTACCTTAATAAATAAAATGATTTATATATATATATATATATAATTTATTTAAACTATAAATTTTAAATAGTCTTTTTTATTTCATTTTTAAATTTTGTACAGAATTAAATAGTGCTATTTATATTGAGATAGCAATATTTAAAGTATTTATAACGAGTTTTTAAAGTATTTATTTATTTCTTAAATTCCTTATCTGTTCAAATAGTATAGCATAAATTGAAAAAAATAATAATACATATTTGAATTAGCTTACTGGTGAAGTAAGTCATATTGATTCGATAGAAAATGACCTGACTAGGTCTTTAAGTCTGAGGGAATATGAAAGTTATAATGCAATAGACATATTTTTGTCTTTTTCATCGATCTACTTTTCATATTGGACCGTAAATTCCACGCAAGTCCTATAATTTAGTAACAATAGTATTACAGGTAATAAAAAGTTTGTTAATTCACGATGGGACCCAAACTGCCGTACACATTATTGGATCCGTTCAATTTCCTAAAGCAATTTTTTTTTTACTTTGATCATGTTTGATACGGTAAGAAAATAATTTAATTAATTTTTGTGTTTGATATATATGTAAAAGAAATTTTAAGATAAAATATTCACATTTATATATTATTTATACAAAATGTTACATAAAAGACTGATATTTTAACAAATTGTGATCAAAGAAAACACTGTTTGCCTATTTTAATAGTAACAGATATAGATTGAAACCAAAAAAAAAATAAAAAATCATTTTGCATTATAGATTATAATCTCATAATTAAGTTGGGGTTTAGCCAAAGATTCCTCCTTCCTCTGTCGTTTACTTGCCATCAGAGATATGCACAGGTTAGTGCCACTTATCGTGTATCGAGAGAGAAATAAACTTTTATTTTAACGGAGAAATTTTGTAAATAGCCATTAAAATTAATTTTATTAAGTTTCATAGCTATAGTTTGCTAATTACGATTAGAGGGAGAAGAGAGGCGAACGAGATTGAAGAGGGAAGAGAGAGTCAAGCGAGAGAGGGCAAAGAGTGGAGAGAGGTGAATTGTATTTGCATAATCTGTCGAATTGTATATGTATATCTGCCAGATTATTGTATATATGTAACTAGTATACATATGTATTTGAATATCTGGTGAGCGCGATTGGGAGAAGGAGGAGAGAGGTGAGCGAGAGTGGGAGAAGGAAGAGAGATGCGAGCGAGATTGGGAGAAGGAGGAGAGAGGCGAGCGAGAGAGCAGAGAATGGAGAGAGACGAATTGTGTTCGTATATCTGTCATATAATTGTATATGTATAATTTGTATTTGCATGTATAAGAGAGGAGAAAGGCAAAAGAGGCATACATAATTATAGCTAAAAAAGACGATAAATGATAATTAATTCAAACTATAATTATATTACTTATCTCCATAATTTTCCTATTTTAACCATATGGTTTATCTATTATTTTTACCTTATATAATTCTTATCGTCAAATAACTCTTTAAAAATAGCGCTACAAAACTAGTTAGTATTAGTTAAAGTAATTCAATTATATATGAAAAAAATTATAGGGAGAAAACGAGGGACTAGATAGCAACATTTTATTAGTATATTTGTACTTTACGATAAAAGATTTAAAGTGGTACGATGAGACAACATTATTGGTTACTTTTTATCTTTTAACAACTTTATTGGTGGGTGAAGTCAAGAAATGTACTATTCCGAATATCAACTTTCTTTACATGTTGGTTTTTAATTTACATGCTTTTTTCTTTCCACGCGTTTTATGGAAGATAATATTTTTTTCTATCTTAATTTATATGATATAGCTTATTTTTTAAAAAAATTATTTTTGTAAAATAATAAATAGCTTAACTTCAAAATTTATCTATTACCTTAATAAAATAATTTATATCTATATAACTATCTAAAATTTATTTAAACAATAAATTTTAATTAATTTTTTCATTTTTAATTTTTTTTACAGGATTAAATATTGCTATTTATATTGAGATAGCAATATTAAAAGTATTTATAACTAATTTTTAAAGTATTTATTTATTTCTTAAATTCCTTATCAGTTTACATTTTTGTTTACTCGTGAAGTAAGTCATATTGGTTGATTGAAAATGAGCTGACTTGGTCTTTAGGTCTGAGGGAATATGAAAGCTATAATGAAATAGATATATTTTTGTCTGTTTCCTTGATCTACTTTTCATATTGGAACGCAAATTCCACGCAAGTTCTATAGTTTAGTAACAATAAAGTGTTGCATATAATTAAAAAAAATTATTAATTCGCGATAGGACCCAAACTGCCTTACACATTATTGGCTCCGTACAATTTCCTAAAGCAAAAAATTGGTTACTTTGATCATGTTGGATACGGTAAGAAAATAATTTAATTATTTTTTGTGTTTGCTATATATGTAAAAATCTTAAATTTTATTTTATCTATAATTAAGATAAATATTATGAAAGATACGGATATTGAATGATCGGAACAGAGGCTCTAATAGGTAGATGTGAAAACAAGGTGGATTAAAGGATTCGAAAGACATAATCATATTTGGTTGATTAAAATTTTTCTGAGTATATATATATATATATATATATATAAATACTTGGTTAAATTTTTCGAAGAAGGGGATTCGCTTGACACCCCTTCGCTCAACGTGGGCCCGCCTCTGTTAGGTTTAATTTTAGGACCAAAATGAACAACTTTTGTTATTAAGTAAGTATTATTTTCAATCATGTAAATTATAAGGAAAAATCTCAAATATGTCATCGAAATTTGAGAAAAGACTTATTTATGCCATTTTAATTTGAAAAACCTTCATCCACGCCATTATTTGTTAACTGAAAATAGTTTCAATCTTTCAAAACTATTTTTTATACGTGGTCAATTATGATTCGGCTACATCATTAATTAAATCATTTTTAAAGAAAAAAGACTCAAATATGTCATTGAATTTTGAGAAAAGGTTCATCTATTTCATCCATTAAAAGTTTGGTTCATCTATGTTATTTCAGTGAACAAGTAGTGGCATGAATGAACTTTTTCTCAAACAGAAAAGACATAGATGAGCCAAACTTTTAGATTTGACATTGATAAACCTTTTCTCAAAATATTATGACATATTTAAGTATTTTTCCTAAAAATATATTAAGAACCAAAATAAAGCATTACCCCAAACCATTTTAATCATTTTCTCTTGATTTCAATGACTACATCAACACAATTATAGCTTTTCTTGACTTAAATTCCATTCTCACCGGGATGTTTGCATAAATGCATGTAAATCGAAATTTGATCGATACATCAAACTAACACGTTTGGATGGATTTAAAAGTTGGTCAAAACTATTTTTTGTGCATTTTTAGTTTTTGAGAGTTTTGACAAAGTTAAAAATAACTTCAAGTAAGTTAAAAACTAAGGACCCGTTTGACCATAGATTTTGTAACGACATGTTCCCGTCGTTATAGAAAAGCCAATGGAGAAATAATTTGGGCCAGAAAACTTTTTCGTAGTAACTTGAGATTTCCTAGCCTAGTCCAAATTTGGACGAAATCGAAGTCAGTGAGATCTAGGGAAATCTGGTAGCAATTAGGTGATCTAATTATGATTTTGATCACATGACTAGATAACTAAGACGTTAAGGAACCCGTACGACTTTACTAAATGGAATTCGGGTGAGTAGAACTTTCGAAATTGATCTTAGCGTGAAAGAATATTTTCTAAGTGTCGTTGGTTGAGGGTGTGTTGTGAAATGGAGTCTTGAAATTATTATTTTTGCTCAATGTTCCATTCAGGCCGCTTTGGCGGGGATTTCTGCCTCCAGGGTGGGGCCACTGCGGCGGGTTGGGTCTCGTCGTAGCGGGACAGACGCGACTTAAGTCGGAAATAAAACCCCAAAAATGTTTTATTCTGCACTTTGAGAGCTAAGGAACGAACCCCAGACGACTCATACTCATTTTTCACCATTCTTAAGGCTAAAGGTAAGCTTTTCACTCTCCGAATCCGTAGAACGTAATAGAATGGGTAAATATTGGTGGGGGAGGGTTTTGTCATATATTCTATGGTGGAAACAACCCTAATTTGGATAATTGGGATCATGAATTCATAGAATTGTTAGTAATTCGGGTAATTAGTGATTGCTTATTGATTCCCGTATTAAATTGTTGTTTGTAGACCTAGAACAAGCGGAAAGAATCCAGAAAGGAAAGATTCAAGTGCCTTAGGAGATTCAAGCTTGGATTCGAGGTAGGTGATTGTTTTTTTTTTCATGTTGGTGTAATATATGTTTGTAATTGCTTCATTATAATACGTGTATGTATGTGAATGTTGCACTATTGATCACACTACTTGTGGATGAAGATAATTGAATAATTGTATGTCATGAATCACCTCTTATTGTATGATTGTGAAAATATACATTGTGATTGTGGTTTGTTGAATGGATCGGGTATTGCGTTCTGACACACTAACTTGGATCGGTTGCCACATTCTGGCATAAATATGGAATCGGTTGTCACGTTCTGGCATAAATATGGGGTCTATTGTCACGTTCCGACATAAATATGGGATCGATTGCCATATTTCGGCATAAATATGGGATCAGTTGTCACGTTCCAGCATAAACATTGGATCGAATACCACGTTCTGGTATGCTAATAGTTTGGGTGTGGGTTCCATGAGAGGACCATTGAATTGGGTTCCGTGAGAGGACCATTGAATTGTGTTGTGTATCTACTTGTGACGATTACGTTTATATCTAATGATGGTTGATATTGGAAGATTGTATGTTGCTCTAAATTGATAACCAATGTGTATTATTGAGAACGTGTGATGCTACATTGATCCTAAAAAAATGACTAATATTGTATATATTCGGTATATGCCTGTTTTATAATGTTGTGGTTACTTGCATGTGTTTCACTTATTGAGATAGCCGCGTGATCTTACCTGTATACTGTGGTTGTGTACTGATAATGCACTTGTTTGTTCTTTGTTGAGTACAGGGCATCTTCAAGCGGCTATTGATAGACCTCAGCTAGGTGACTATTGAGCGTGATCGAATTCAAGGGTGAGCCAGTTCTTTCAGGCTGCCATGGATCTTTCTTGTTTAAGTCCACTCTTTTCGGACTCAGATTATTTGTTTAAGGTGTTTGTTTAGTGTCGGGGTTGTACCCCTTGTTCTTAGACTTGTCGTTAGTAGAGTTTTGGTACATTGACTTTTAGGTTCTAGGGATTGCTCTTCCGCATTAGTTTGGTTAGTTGTTTGTTAAAAACTTTGGAGTTTATGGGGACTCCATTTTTATAGTCATTTAAATCTGCTTCCGTATCTTTAAATGCATAAATTTTGGTTAAATTGGTTTGTTTGGGTTATAGTAATGATTCTCCCACATGAGGGTTAGTGTGGGTGTTAATCACGATGGTTTGGGTCATGACAGATTTCTCAAATAATATTTGGGAAAAAATTTGGCAAATAGTGTTTGTGCACAATTTGTCATTATTTTGCAAATATCCCAAATTCCCAAATACTTGTTTTTTCTAGTATTTGGGACAAATCTCATTATTTGGGATCCTTTAAAAATTGAAAATTTACAACTAATGTTTATCTTTTAAAAAATACCCTCTATAGTAGTTGTTTGCGTTGTATTACATAATTTTTTACGTGAACACCAAAGTAGTGATGAAATATTCAGTGATGATATGATTGTTGATGAAAATGATGAATAATCGGCTCAGGGTAACAAAGTCATGTGTTTTGTCTACTTCACGATGTATGAAATGATGCTTGTTGCACTAACTCCAAACTATCACATTGCTCAAGTGTCATGGACACTACTTGTTATTTGTTGCAACGAAAATTCAATTGACTTGCAATACAAACTTATGGTTAGTTTTGATAGTTTTTAAAACTTATAGATATAAATCATATTTTTCTAAAAAAGTGAAATATGTTTCCCAGATACTATGGTCAAATACATGATGAAATTTCACCCAAATAATATTTGCCAAGAATATTTGAAAATCTATAACCAAACTTTAGCTAAAAGTAGGACTCTCCCACTTTTTATTTTTTTACTTAAAAATTATTTAAAATTTTTAACTTTTTATTTTTTGATTTAAAAACTTCATACTTTTTTTTTCCGGCTTATCCAAACTGGCTCTAAAACTATTATCTTCAATTAATCTACGTCTATTACGAAGAGTAATTAATCCTTTACCAAAAAATATACCTCCATACCATACACACCTCAAAAGAAAAAAACAAATCAAAATATTGAAAAAATACAAAGGAAAGTTTGTGTAGAACTTCAACTGCATATCATTGTTGCATATCATAATACATCTCAAGACAAACTTTAAATAGAAGTAGCAAATCAAGCTTTTGATTACACAAACGAAATAAGTATTAATTAAGTGATCATACAAGAAATCAAACCGATTAATTACTTGCGACCGAGTGTTTGCCAATTTTTCCAGCCAGCCATGGCACTTACTGCTCCAAATACAATCATCCTGGATGCACCCACTGCACCAACAACAGTACCCAATGGAGCAGCAAAGGCAGTACCCAATCCCAATGTACCAGCTGCAGCTACGACAGTACCCAATGTCTCCACTACATCAACAAACTTATCTACCGTACAAAAACCAGACGACGATTGCTCTGCACCAACAACACTGGGATCCTGCAAACCGTAAAATTAGCTCATAATAAGAATATTTGTAATTTTGAATAGACATAATATATAAACATGACCCTTAACTTGACTTTAGTGGATAGCTATGTCCTTCAATTTTGAACGTGCACAAGTAAACACTTAAACTTGTATAAAATTGAATAAGTAAACATATTTGTTCTACGTGACATAATATACATAGGATGCTATGAAGTACGAATGTGTTCATTTATTCAATTTTATACAAATTTAAGTGTCTACTTGTAGCCACTCAAAATTAAAGATCATAGTTGTCAACTGACGCCAACTTTGCTTACATGTAATAATATGTCTTGTTGAATGTGCAACATGAAACAAGCGTCTTCAAAATTAGGGAGAGGAAACATTGATGATATTGTGTTTTTGAGGGGAAAGTATTGAGTAGGCAAACCAGCAAGAAGTTGCAACACCATGTTTGAATTTGAAATTTCATCGCCGATTTCTGCTAGAGAATCGGCGATGGACTTCAATCTTTTCACATAGGCTTCAATGGACTGAAAATCCTCCATTCTGGTTCCGTGAAATTGAATTTGCAGTTGGGCTCGCCGGATCTGATCATCTTTAATGGAACTATCCGATTCCTCTTTTACAAAACTCATTCTTCTGATTTTTTTGATTCTCTAACTTCTAATGTTGAAGACCATAAAGTATTTTATAGAGAAAGTGACCAAAATGATCCTTATGCTTAGGTAGGAGTGACTAAAAATTGAATCGATATAAATTGAATTGAAAAAAATGTTATTAATTTTTATTATTATTGGGTTATTAGATCAACAATTTTTTAATGGTTTATAAAAAAAGATTACCGGGTTATCAATTCGGTTTGTTTTTTTAATTGAGAAAATTTCAAAATAGAAAAGATGAAAAATATAATAAGGTTTTATAACTATAGTCTCGGTAATTGCGTTTCATGGATATGATTCCGTTTGTTATAGAGACATTAGTTTGTATATTTAACTTGCAAATATACAAACATGATAAGTATATATAAATAGAGGTTGCAATTTGTATATTTCGCTTGTCCATTTGTATATTTTGCTTGCAAATATATAAACAAGATAAATATATACAAATTCTATATTTATATATTTAGGAATTTTTCAGAACTGTGTTTGTATATTTCAACTCCCAATATACAAACAAGGTAATTTATTATGAATTTTTCATAAATCAAATACAAATAACTAGGGTAAGAATATATAAATTATTGATTTATACAATCACTAACCAAATTATATAAATTTTTGATTTATACAATTAGAGATCGAATTATACAAATTCTGAATTTATACAATCAGTAACCAAATTATATAAATTTTGGATTTATACAATTAGAGACCGAATTATACAAATTGGATTTATATAATTAGGAAACCGAATAGCAAAATTTCTCACGAAACTATTGCCACAGATTAAAAATAATTGAAACTATAGCTATGTTACATAATATACTCTAGATGTTTGTCATTTCACGTAATTTTCTCTTTTTTAGAGAATATTAAATTATTAGGTAAACTGATAACACATTAAAACTGTAGTAATTTACTAATTTACCCGTTCTTAAATATTATATATTAACTCAATATCTTACTAGTTAGTGTCTTTGCCCTTTATCCTTCAATTCACATGACTTCATAGTAACTTTGAGTTCACAATTTCACATTATACAAAACATCAAAATCTAAGTAAGAGGTTTTTTCTTCTTAATTTCTATTTGTGTTACACTTGTATAGATATTTTCCTGTTAGTTATTACAGTTTCTATCTTATGATTATTTGTAAAGTTACATTATTGTCCTGTCACGTCAAATTGTTGAAGAAGTCACATATTTATTTTATAAGCATTTTCGTATTGATTAAACTGAATCGTTAAGAATCAAAGTCGATACACCGATAAAACATATCTTATTGATTTAGCGTATTGAAAAATCAAAATCAATAAACTGAATCGATACATGAAACCAAATTGAATCGACCAATGCATACCCCTAGGTATGAACAAGTTTAGTATGAGATAATATTTGATAAAGTCATTATTTCTTCACCAATTCTTCTTTTAGAAAGTTATTCATTTTTCATTTTTAATTCAAAGTTATTCAATTTTGAGTTTTTTATTTAAAAAGTCATTCAATTTGTTTAATTAGTTATTTTAAAAAAGTTTTTTGACATGAATTTTTTTCATTTAAAATAAAAAATTTAAGAAATAAAATAATATTTTCTTTTAAAAAAATATTATGTGTACCTACAAAATTTAAAAACTACTAAAAATACTCATGAGTTTGTATTATCATTTTATAATTAACACACTTAATATGAATCTGCAAAAAAAAGAAAGAAAATAAAAGGAAAAAAATCATCGATTTGAATACGAAAAATTATTATCACTACTTGTAGTTAGAAGTGAATTTGGAGAGCAAGTTCGAATAAAATGTTTATATAATCGTATAAATTTTGTACAAAGAATTAGGATTGAAATTTAATCTCATTCTAAAAAAGATGATTGTTTTTATAGAATATAAATTTTGGGATAATTTTAAATTTTTTTAAAATTCTCAAATAATAGTATTTGGCCAAAATACTATTTGTTTAGTATTTAAAAATTTGAGATTCTTGCCGAAAATATTTGTCAAATAATGGCATTATATGGCCAAACACTATTTTTCAAATAATTTAGGGAATATTTGTTGCCAACGGCACATAGGTCAACCTACAATAGATTTCATGTCAAGAAATTTTAATAAAAACATCAATTAAATAGGTTAAATGATTTATAAGTAAAATATTAAAAATTGATCAAGGGGACTGTGGACAATCAATTCCAACTCATCAACAAATTCATAGTTGAGCGACTTTTGGGGTAAAAATTAAAATTGAGTCTTTTAAAAGGAAATTTGAGTGACTATTTCAGATATTATCTCTTTAAATATTTCCAATAATCTCTATCAAGTATTTATTCAACATAAATTTTGATTAAAAACTTAATGGTTGAAGCTTCATTTTATGTATAGGTCTTGGGTTCAACTTCATGTGCAGCCCTATTTATTGATTAGTTTGCTAAATCATTTCAAATAATTTTTAAATAATATAAATCAGTGTGATTAGTGTAATTTATATTATTTTTTATATAATTTTCAAATAATATAAATCAATTTTACTCTTTTTAATAATATCACATGCATATTTCATTCTTAAAAGTTATAGTCTTTGAGTTTCTTATCTCACTTCTAATATGTTTTGTAGATAAAATATCATTAATAGAGTAATTAGCATTTTCAGAAATTAGGTGAAAAACTGAATAACCATGTTTGAAAGAAATGTTATTCAAAGTACCTAAAGCTTAAAAGGAGAAATGAGGGACTGGATAGCAACATTTTATTAGTATATTTTATACTTTTACGATAAAATGATTTTAAAGTAGTACGATGAAACAACATTATTGGTTACTTTTTATTTAACCACTTTATTGGTGAGTGAAGTCAAGAAATGTACTGTTCAGAATATCAAAGTATTTATTTATTTCTTAAATTTTTTGCAAAAAGGGAAAATTATACATATCTGAATTAGCTTACTCGTGAAGTAAGTCATCTTGATTGATAGAGTGAGGAAATATGAAAGCTATAATGAAATAGACATATTTTTGTCTTTTTCCTTGATCTACTTTTCATATTGGAACGCAAATTTCACGCAAGTTCTATAGTTTAGTAACAATACAGTGTTGCATATAATAAAAAAATTATTAATTCGCGATGGGACGCAAACTGCCTTACACATTATTGGCTCCGTACAACTTCCCAAAGCAAAAAAGTTGCTAGGTCGTGTTTGGTATGAAAGAAGACACTCTCTTTAAAAAAGTAATTTATTTAACTTATGTTTGATATACATGTAAAAAAATTATAGTTTAAAATTATTATATAGAATTTAGATAAATATTAGTATAAAAGATGCGGGTATGAAATGATTGGGATGGGGGCTACAATGGATAGATGTGAAAATGAGGTAGATTAAAGGAGATAATCAATGTGAAATATTACATGTAAACCTAATTTTAAAATAAATTAATCAATAAAACATAATCATACTGAACACACTCTATATCTATTTGTTTTTCTATTAAGGTCAAGGTTTAGTACAATTCTATCTAGTAAAAGCTAGTGGATTACCCCCATTAACTTTTCTGTTGGATTAGTGCTTTCCTAATTATTCCTTTGATTACTTTGGTGCTAAGAAACATAGTCTTTCAGCATCAGTATGTGAATGATTCAGATCAAGAACTTTATATTATATTTATTTATTTATTACATGTAATTTAAGTTGAATTTTTTTTCACCATCTCAATTATCTTGATTTTACTTTATTTTTTTTTGTCTTAATTATTTTCATTCGTCCTTTGTTCCATTTATTTTAGGATTTGTAGGCATTTTTGCCCCTACTATTTGTCAACTTTGGTATACGAAAACCATATTTACATGGACCCAACTGCTAAAGACTGTTACAGCTAGCTTTACAATAGTTGACATATGTATACCTAGATATATTTGGATTCTAAAGTTTTTGAAGTTTATAAGATTTCACTAAATATATTTTTGTTGATGAATTTCTACAACTTCAATCTAATATACTATAATAGATATAATGCATAAATATATTTTTTAATTAATTTAAATTTATATAAAATTGGACAAGTAGATATACTCGTTCTAGAGGACAATTCGCTTTAGATACACTCATTTGTATTATGACATGAAATTGCAGAACATTAATAACAACTGAGATCTAAGTTAAAGAACACCGTTTACATATTATAATACTATTTTCCAGCAGAATTGCGAGAAGAAGAGCCTCCTCCGCCTCTGCCTCTGTTATTGTTTCCCCTTCCTCCGGTAGATCCATTTTTCTTATTTCCCGGACCTGGAGTCACCTTTATTGGTGTTCCCGAAGAACGACTACCAGACCAGGGTGCAACCGCATTCCAAAATTCGCGTGCTATTGAAGCTACAGTTGTTACTGTACTTGCTATATCATGGATCATCTCCACAGTACTCTTACCAGTATTACTATTATTATTATTTTCACCAGCTACACCAGGAGGCGGAGGCGGAAGAGTTGAAGTTGTTTTCTCGTATTCGTAAAGCATGGAACAAGCCTCTGAGAAATTTGGAAGAGGTAACTGTGACGAGATCGTGTTTTTGAGGAGCAAGTATTGAGGAGGCAAACCAGCTAGAAGCTGCAAAACTAAATCTGGATCTGAAATTGGATTGCCGATTGCTGTTAGAGAATTAGCTGTGGATTTCAACTTTTTGACATATGAATCTATGGTTTCGAGATCCCCCTTTCTGGTGCCGTGAAATTGCATTTTCAGTTGTTGAGCTATAATTATCGTTTCATCTTTTGAATTTGAAGAAGAAGTAGCAGTTTTCTCTGATGGAGTATCCATATTTTTTTCGTTCTCCGTACTTTTGAGTGAAGTTTCTCTGCCTATTGTTCTAATTGGCATTGTGGATGGTGTGATAAGGGAAGTATTTTTTAAATATATGGGGTCGTTTGGTTTGGATATGAATTATGTTGGAATAAGTTGTTCAGGAATTATTTTTGTTTGATTTGTTGTATTCAAAATAATATATATTGATAAATTTTAAGAACAAGTTATTTATTTATAAAATTACTCTTCACTTTATTTAAACTTTTTTAACTTTTTCTTTGCGAGCTTTTGTTATTCATTTTTTAAAATAAAACTCTTATTTTATTTAACTTAAATTTTTTGGTTATGTATACCCATGATAAGTACCATGTATATTTAAAAGGGTAAATTATGTAAATGCCTTAGTTTTAATATGAAATTACAATATATCCCTAATAAGTTTCTAATTACATTAATCCTTTAAAATTTAAAAAAATCGGATACAATAATTGAAGCTCGGATACATTAATATGTAGCTCGAATACATTAAATACTGTCTCGAATACATTAATATGTAGCTCGGATACATCAAAAACTAGTTCAGATACATTAAATATTGGCTTGGATACATTTAAAACTAGCTCGAATACATAATATGTAGCTCAGATACAGTAATATGCAGCTCAGATACATTAAAGAAATAAGAGATTTTGGAGATTTAAAAAAGTTATAGAGGATAATGGAAATAAGTGAAACAAAAAATGTGTATTTCTGTAATTAATAAACATTTATCACAGTTACAAAAAATAATAACAAACTTTTGTCGAAAAAAGAATTGATTCAATTTTCTTTCATCGAAATAAATGGAGTTTCACCAAAATATTTAAAACCTGAAAAAGAGGAAAAAACATAAGAATAGTTGGAGAGGGTGATAGAAAGAGAGAGAGAAAGTTGGTGGGGGTGGGGTGGCATGGGAGGTATCCGATAAGTACAAAGATGGTGGATGGAAATTGCTGAGGTTGTTCTTAGGAAGAAGACATCCTTTTTTTTATTGTTAGTTAATTGTTTTTGGTTTCTTTATTAATTAATGTCAAGGTCATTAAATTATAAAAATGTATTTTTTCAGGAAAAATAGAAAGGAAAATATTTTTTTGGGCGCGTGAAAAGTGAAGAACACATTTTTTGCCACATCACTATTTTATGCTTAATAGATACACATTTTGAATATTTTAAGTGTTCAATAGGTACTAACCCTAGTTGAGGTGTCTAAATGAATTATATAGACAACTTTAAGGGCTACAGATGACTTAATCCTTAAAAATATAACTTTTTCCTTATTTAGCTTAAAAATAGAACTTTCTTCTTAAGTTTGTTAAAGAGAAGAAAATTTATGAGAAATCAAAATAAAATAAATATAAGAATTAGTCAAATAAATTCATAAATAAAAAATATATTTATATAGTTTAATTTTTTAATAGAAAATATGTATAATTATCATAAAAATAAGTAGTAGTAAATATTATTATATATGGTATTAAAAATAATGTAAATATACATAAATGTGAAAAAAATGATATTATATAAAGGATTTAAAGGGATGTATTTGTCATTTACCTATTTTGTCCCAGGATTACTATACCACCCAATGTGAGGGATAACTTATCCCGGTACTAATTCATAATCCTGGGATAAGTTATCTCAAGTTTTGCAACCAAACAACGAAATAAAAGATACTTAAAATTTATCTTGGGATTAACTCCCCTTATCCATCACACCAAACAACCCCATAAAGTTTATGGAAGTATTTCTTTAATGTTTAAATTTGGTTTCAAGTTAAATTTAATAATTGACAAGTATGAAATATAAAATAGAGAAAATACATAATTACCCCATTAAAGTAAGACCTGTTTTTTAGAAAGACACTTCAACTTTCCGGGGGTCCTAGTACCCCCTTAAACAATTTTAAAGTGTTGTAAATATGCCATTTTTCAGCCACCCTCAATTGCAAGAAAAGAAGTACAATCACGCATCACTTATTATTTGCCACGTGTTAAATTTTAATTTTTTATCTTTATTTTCACTTTTGTTTTTTTTCTTATTTTATTAACTTCATTTTCTTTTCTTTTTCTCTTTCTTCTTCTTTCTTCATTACCCTCCTTTGCTCTTCTTCGGTCCTTCTAGCTGCCCAGAAATCCTCGACGTAGCCGTCATCTTCGTCAATTCTCCGGAGTAGTCTTTATCACGTCACTATTATAATACCATAATATCATCAATTTTTTGTTAAATCAAAAATAAAATTACTAACAAATTATAAATTGAAAATTAATAATCACCTCCAATCTACCATCTCCTTTTCAAAATTACAATAATTATGCAGCGGAACTCTATTGCGATGAAGGTAATTGAATTCTATATATAATACTCTCAAATCTAAGAATTTTTTTTTATTTACTTGCTAAAGAACTACATAACAATTTATTTATTTATGTTTAAAAAAGAACAATATTATCAAGGAGGTTTACAATTATTATTATTTTGAAAAATATAAGGGACAAAAGAAGAAAAAGGAACAAAGAGAAGCAAGAAGACAAGGAAAAAAATGAGTGAATTAAATGGGTCTTCTAAGTTGAAGAAGATAGAGAGGAGGTAGTTGATTCTTTTGAAATTTGGGGAAGAAGATAACAAAAATAAAGAATTGAGAAAGTACAATAAAAAAATAAAAGAAAAGAAAAAAAAATATTTCTAATTAAATAAATGCTTAAATAAATATTATTTACTTTTTGGTTCAGCTCACTCTATATCAGAGGGTGAACTACACTCTACATGCCACATAGGAACGTAATGAGACAATTAATTCATTCTAAATAAGAATAATAGGGTAATAGGACCCTTACAAAGTTTAAGTGTCTTTTTAAAAAATAGGTCTTACTTTAATGGGGTAATTATGTATTTTCTCTATAAAATAAGATAAAAGAGGTAAATATACTCATCAATTTTATGATTTAGGACCGATATATTTCCATTAAAAAAATAGTGCATATATATTCTTAATGTCTAACAAATGATGCATATATATATATATATCCTTATCGTCTAACAAATGATGTATATTTACTCTCTATCTAAATAGTCTGAATTAAGAAAAATATCTTAAAGCTGGTTTTTAAATTTCCAAAATGTCATTTGGCTTAAAAAGATTATCTCATCCATTTTTTACGCATTCAGACCTAACCCAATTAAAAAAAGAAACACACAATTCTTCATTATTCAAATCCGAACCAAAATTATTTTATGATTAAGTAGAAGACGGATTGACTAAAAAGGAATGTGAGTTACATAAATTGGAATGAAGTAAATTTTTTGTCATGTGGCATATTAGGGGTAAATAGTTTCAAAAATCCATATTTAAGGAGATAATTAAGATTTGTTATAATTTAGGGGGTAAGTAGTTTCAAAAATCAATGTTCGAAGAGGTAATTAAGGTTTTTTTGTAGTTTAGATATGCATTTAATAAATTATGTAACTTTAAGAGATTTTTTTAACTATCAACTCAAAGCCAAAATTTGAATGTCCCAACTTAGAGAAAATGACAAAAATGATCCTTAATGTATGTGTAATGAATTATTTTGAGCCTTAATGTATTTTAATTGATTAAAATGATCCTTAACGTATAATAAATTTTGGTCCTTAATATATTTTATTTGATTGAAATGATTCTTAATATATAACAAAATGTGTTCATTTTGTTTTTTTATCCTAAACTTAACAGATTTATTAAAAAAAATGTTAAATGTAATTATCGACCCCTCGTGGCTAACAAAATTCTCCCTTGATATCTTCTTTGTTAGCTCCAAAGAAAAATCCCATAAAATCTAACACTATTTTCTTTACTTTGTCTAACAAAAAATATTATTTTCTCTTGTTTAAAACAAAAATGGATATTGCGTCAGTAGAATAATAATTTAGAAAAGAAAAAATAGTAAATTTTATTGGAGAAACTAGAGAAAATGGTGTTAGATTTTATAGAGTTCTTTCATTGAAGCAAACAAAAAATACAATAATGATAAATTTTGTTAGTCAACTAGGGTCTATAGTAAAATTTAACATTTTTAAAAAAAAAATGAATATGTTAGATTTAGGGTAAAGGACCAAAATGAATATTTTTTGTCATACATTAAGAACCATTTCAATTAAGTGAAATATATTAAAGACCAAAATAAACACATTTATTATATATTAAAGAGTATTTCAATCAAATGAAATATATTAAGGACCAAAATAAAGTGTTACTCATACATTTAGGAACATTTTGGTTATTTTCTCTCCTAACTTATATGACTTTTAGCTTTTTCTTTTTAATCTTGCTTAAAATGAAAACGACACTATGCAGTATGAGTCTCATATTAATGTGAATTATATATCGATTCTTCTGCAGTTTAAATGGAGTCCGGAGCCAAAAGGACAATTTTTTTCTTTCAAAAAACTAAACGGCATATCAAAAAACAATTTAACCAAAAGGGCAAAATCGCTCTGTCAGGAGCGATTTTCTTCTGACAAAAGTTGTGTACGTTAAAAAAAAAAAGCAGCGATTTTCTCAAAAAAAGAATCTTTTTTTCTTCAAAATCGCTGCTATCAAAAAAATAATAATCTTTTTTTCTTCAAAATGGTTAAGAATTTTTTAAAAAAAGTTTTTCTTTTATATTTAATATTCTTTTATTATTAGTTATGATATATAATTCAATTTTCCTCATGCTTCAACAATTTTATTGAGTATACTGTCCGTTTTGTTTATCATTTTTATATTATTAATAATTAACAATAGACATGAATATAATAGCACTAGGCATGAAAAACGTTGCCCCTGCAGCGATGTGTAAGGAAAAATAATAATTCTGACTTTAATAAAAAAAAAATAATTTACAAAATCGCTGATAGGGCAGCATTTTTAATTAAAAAAAAGAAAAAAAGTTTTTAGACAAAATAGGGCAGCGATTTTTCGTCATTGTGTCAGAGGGAAATCGCTTCGTCAGGAGCGATTTTGCCCTTTTGG